ATAGATAGATAGATAGATAGATAGATAGATAGATAGATAGATAGATAATTCTTCATTGGTCAAGTATAATTGGACACAAGGAATTTGTCTTGGTGCAAATACTCTCAATGTACATAAAGAAAAGATACATTCATTAAGAATCAAGAATCATAACGTACAACACTTAATGATAGTCACAGGGTACAATCAACAATCAAATCATACTAGGAAACAGTCAATAAAAATAGTTAGCATACAAGCAAAAGGTTACAGTCAGACAGTCATAAGTGGGAGGAGAAGGTGAAAGGAAGGATGCATTACTATTACTATTATTAATAGTAATAGTAATGCAGACTTAGTAAATAGTTTGACAGTGTTGAGGGAATTATTTGTTTAGTAGAGTGATGGCGTTTGGGAAAAACTGTCCTTGTGTCTAGTTGTTCTGGTGTGCAGTGCCCTACAACGTCGTTTTGAGAGAAGGAGTTGAAACAGTTTATGTCTGGGATGTGAGGGATCTGTAAATATTTTCACAGCCCTCTTTTTGACTCGTGCAGTATACAGGTCCTCAATGGAAGGCAGTTTAAAATTTTTGAGAAGGCTTGTTTCGCAAGGACTAGGAATTAATGCTGTAGTAGTAAATTAATCAGTATTCAATTTGAGGGGAGAATATGTGTATAATGTGTTTTTAATACTTCGATTGTTTTGTGTTCTTTTTTGTCTTCTCAGGCTTTATTAAGTTTGTTTTGAATAAAAAATAAAAGCATATGGAAGAAAAAAAAGATTTGGTGCCTTACATCTGCCATAGCTTTTAGATTAAAATACCACTTTTCTTTCCTTTTCAGATTAGTTACAATTTTGTTTCCCAGATTCTGATGGATAAAACTGGGTTTCCTTTCTTCTACCCAATGCTCCCTGCTGAAGGATTCCAGTACTCAGGGGTAGTCAAGCTTCTCCTCCATTTCAGGTGGACATTGGTTGGTCTGCTTGCTCCAGACACTGACCAGGGGCAGAAATTCATGAACACTTTGACTTTAATGCTGATAAGGAGTGGCATTTGTCCAGTTATATCGCATATCTTTACACCAACTATTCAAAAAATATCCATAAAGTTTCATGAGTATCACAAATGGAAGCAAGTGAACACCTTTCTTTATGCTGCAGAGTTGAATTCAATCAGTGCAGGAATAGCAATTCTATATCAGGTAGGGACAGGGTGACTCAGTGGCGAAGACGCTGAGCTTGTTGATCAGAAAGGTCAGCAGTTAGGTGGTTCAAATCCCTAGCACCACATAACAGAGTGAGCTCCTGTTACTTGTCCCACTTCTGCCAACCTAGCAGTTCGAAAGCATGTAAAAATGCAAGTAAAAAAATAGGGACCACTTTGGTGGGAAGGTAACAGCGTTCTGTGTGTCTTAGGCATTTAGTCATGCTGGCCACATGACCATGGAGATGTCTTCAGACAGCACTGGCTCTTTGGCTTTGTAATAGAGATGAGTACCGCACCCTAGATCCAGAAATGACTAGCATGAATGTGTGAGGGGAACCTTTACCTTTACCTTACATTAACACAGTCTTGCAAGTCTGAAAGCACAAATCTCCTGCTTTCTTTTACAGCCTGAGAATTTAGGGGGCATCGCTTCTGAATCTTTTTATGTTCCAATTACATGACTGTGGGCTTTAACCTTTCTTATATGCTCATTCCTAGGCATCAACATCTTTCTGATATACTATTGCATGCCCATCCTGGTATCTCCAGACCTATATTAATGTTAGAGGATCACCTGTTTCTTTTGAATTGGTATACAAGGTTTTGGGCATGGACTTTTGTAGCATTTTTTTCATGATCTCTCAGATTCCAGATAGGTCTTTAATTTATTCAGGTAATGCAAATGTTTCAACTTCCATCTAGAGTTCTGCATGGCCACCACTCCATTCTCTTCCTTCCATCCACCAGAAGAGAGGAAGGTGGAGCTGTCCTGTTCTGTACAGGAAATTACAAATTAAGAAAAACTAGATTAATTTGATGTACCACAGAGGAAGGCCCAAAGTTGCAGATCAGTTTGTTTGCCCTTTACTTCCGTACCACCTTAGATGATAAGATAGGATAGGGTAGGGTAGGGTAGGGTAGGGTAGGACCAGACCAGACCAGACCAGACAAAGAACCCAGGAACACATTCACAAGTCTGCACCTTGCTCAATAGTAGTAACTGTGAGATGGATCTTGGAGTCCTAGTGGACAACATTTAAATATGAGCCAGCCATGTGCTGCATCTGCCAAAAAAGCCACAATCACGTGAAGTGTTAATACCACTTTAAAATGCCTTGGTAAGGCCACACTTGGATCCAGTTTTGGTCACCATGAGGTAAAAAAGATGCTGAGACTCTAGAAAGAGTGCAAAGAAGATTAATAAAGATGGTTAAGGGATGGAGGCTAAAACATGTAGAGAATGGGTATGTCTAGTTTAATGAAAAGAAGGACTAGGGGAGACATGATAGCCGACTTCCAATATCTCAGGGGCTGCCACAAAGAAGAGGGAGTCAAACTATTCCCCAAAGCACCTGAGGGCAGGAGAAGAAGCAATGGGTGGAAACTAATCAAGGAGAGAAGCAACTTAGAACTAAGGAGAAATTTCCTGACAGAACAATTAATCAATGGAACAGCTTGCCTCCAGAAGTTGTGGATGCTCCAACTCTGGAAGTTTTGAAGAAGAGATTGGATAACCATTTGTCAGAAATGGTATAGGGTTTCCTGCCTAAGCAGGGGGTTGGACTAGAAGACCTCCAAGGTGCCTTCCAACTCTATTATTCTATTCTATTCTAAGTTATATATCAGTATATTAAGAGGTAATTTGAGTTCTCCCATTTTCTGCTTTTTTCCAGCTTCATCCCTTCCTTGGAAACTCTGAGTTTTATAATAGATCCATAGCTGGAGTCTCTCTGGATGAGAAGGGATATCTGACAGCAGATCTGGACATTGCTGACTGGCTGTTTCTCAACAGGTCAATTTACAGAATGATGTTTGGCAGCCTAGAAAAACAGGGATCCCTGGATTTCAACTTTATGGTTAATCAAAAGAGTTTGGAAGAGATGCAGAAGCTGAACAAGGTGAGGAATATTCTCCAAGAGGTATGATAAAATATTTGCTTTGATATCAAAGAGTCTGTGAGAAAACATTCTTAACTATTTCAGTAGATTATTTACAAGTCTTTTGTGAAGGCATGTACATTTGCCCCAGTGTAGGTGTGAGTGTTAGACCTTATCCAGTTTGCTCTCTCAAGAAAGCAGGGCTTATGGCTCCATTTAGTTAAAGTAAGGGAACTTTTATTGAAAGAAACTGGTTGCAGTAAAGTCAGGCAAAAATCTGGTGTTCCCATGCAAAGTACAAAGTTATTCTTTCCAACTCCCAATCCCTCCCACCATGATCAGCCCCTGGCCAGCGAATTGTGATGCCAGTATGATGTTTTGAGAAACTCTGAGGTTTGAAACTAGTAGCATTCTATTCTCAGGGAAAACAGCCTTGAAGATCCTGGTACAAGCCGGTTTGGTGATCTGGTCTTTTTCTGTTGTCATTTCCCCCTCCCCATTTCCCACCGTTAGCTACACAAGTGTGGATTGCCCCAAATGCCTCCCCCCTCCATTCCCTTTGATGGCAGGAACCCAGAAAGATGCCACATCAATGATGGAAAGCCTAACAGTGAGTTTATTTCCCCAAAAGAAAAAAGAAGTATTGAACTATACCTTGAGAAATATAGAATGTAAATTTAGATAAAACAAAAAACTACAGAAAAAAACAGAAAAAACAATTACTACCTACCTGCCTTCCATCGAGGACCTGTATACTGCAGGAGTCAAAAAGAGGGCTGTGAAAATATTTACAGACCCCTCACATCCCAGACATAAACTGTTTCAACTCCTTCCCTCAAAACGACACTATAGAGCACTGCACACCAGAACAACTAGACACAGGACAGTTTTTCCCCGAATGCCATCACTCTGCTAAACAAATAATTCCCTCAACCCTGTTCAACTATTACAAAGTCTGTACTACTATTACTGTTAATCTTCTCATCACTCCTTATCACACACCCACTTGTGACTGTATGACTGTAACTTTGTCGCTTGTATCCTTACAATTTATATTGACTGTTTCCTAGTATGAATTGATTGTTGATTGTACCCTATGACTATCATTAAGTGTTGTACATTATGATTCTTGATTCTTAATGAATGTATCTTTTCTTTATGTACACTGAGAGTATTTACACCAAGACAAATTCCTTGTGTGTCCAATCACACTTGGCCAATAAAGTATTCTATTCTATTCTATTCTATTCTATTCTATTCTATTCTATTCTATTAGAACCTAAACCAAACAAGGAAATGTACAAAAATTAGAAAGAAAGAAGAAAGGGGAAGCAACATTCAAACAAGCAGATTGATGATATCTTTATATAGGTTTCACATTTAGAAAAGCAGACCCTTGAACTGAAGATCCCCAAGCCCTTTCTCTTTCACCCCTTTCTGGAAATTAAATTATAACTCATTTTCTGGATGGTCTTCCTCCCTCTGCTCAGCCCCTGCCTCCATCCAGGTGTGTGGAAAGCTGCTGTCCTGGATTCATGAAGGTGGAACAGGAAGGGAGGCCTATCTGCTGCTATGACTATCTTCTCTGCACAGAAGGAACCATCTCCACCATGAAAGGTGGGTGGCACTTTCAAATAATGTTTCAAATTCATTTCTATTCTCCACATTTCCCTTAAAAATCAGAAGTTCCCATAAGTCTTCAGAATGCCTGTCCAATAAGAAGCGATAGGATAGCTGTCCTTTCAAAATGATCAAACTTGGAAGAGACCATTGAGGCCATGAATTCACTCCCTTTCTCATTTGAGGAAGCCAAATTAAGCTTCTTTAACAATTGGAAGACAAGATAACTCTTAAACAGGATATTTTAGCATTATAGCTTTAAAGTAGATGTTATTCTTGCCTTTTTTCAGACACAGAAGAATACAACAAATGTCCAGAAAATCAACATCCAAACAAAAACCAAACTCGCTGTATCCCCAAGATTAGGTCTTTCCTATCTTATCAAGAACAATTGGGCATTGCCTTGACTTCCATTGCTCTGTTCCTCTCTTTGATCACATGCTTTATCTTGGGAACCTTCATTAAGTTCCAAGAAACTCCCATAGTCAAAGCCAACAATCGGGACCTCTCTTATATCCTTCTGGTTTGTCTCCTGCTTTCCTTCTTCACCTCCTTCTTGTTCATTGGTCAGCCAAGGAGACTCACCTGCCTTCTTCGACAAACAGCCTTCAGCATCATCTTCTCTGTTGCCATTTCTTCTGTCTTGGCCAAAACCATCACAGTGGTGCTGGCCTTCTGGGCCACAAAACCAGGGAATAATGTTCAGAGATGGCTGGGAAAGGGTTTTACCAACTCCATTATCCTTTCATGCTCTGGTCTCCAAGTTGTCTTTTGCAGCATCTGGCTGGCTGCTTTCCCCCCTTTACCTGAGACAGATATGCATTCACAATTTGCAAAAATCATTCTACAGTGCAGTGAAGGCTCTGTCGCCATGTTTTATGGGGCCCTTGGCTACATGGGCTTCCTGGCTGCCGTCTGCTTCACAGTGGCTTTCCTGGCCAGGAATCTGCCTGGGTCTTTCAACGAAGCCAAGCTGATCACTTTCAGCATGCTGGTCTTCTGCAGTGTCTGGGTGTTCTTCCTGCCCACCTATCTGAGCACCAAAGGGAAATACATGGTGGCTGTGCAGGTCTTCTCCATCTTGATCTCCAATGCTGGGTTGCTGGGGTGCATCTTCATCCCCAAGTGCTACATTATCATTCTGAGACCAGACCTGAATACAAAAGAACATGTGATGTCAAAATAAAATAGAAAAATGAGTTTTTATGGGTAGGTATGTTATAAAATATCAGTTACTAATTCAGGCCAAAAAAAAATCACCTTTTAATGTTCCTCCCATCAACCCTACCCAGGAAAGTCAGTATTTTCCCTTTTCTTTTCTTTTTTGCAACTGAGTGATCAGAAAAGTACATGAATGGCTATGAATGCTTATCATGGTGCTAGAGCCAGTTTCAATACATGGATGGATTGGAGCTTTGCCTGCAAACAGTGAATCAAATATTGATGCCCTTTCAGGACCCTCCATGCCAGCACTGATGGCTCTTCTGCCAACAGGTTTGCAAAAGAGGAAGAACCCCATAAGCTTGAAAGTCTTGTGCCCTATCAAAGTGCATTATCAGTAAGTCAATCAATCAATCAGAATACTACTGGAAGGGACCTTGAAGGTCTTCTAGTCTGGCCCTCTGCATAAGCAGGAGATCCTATACTATTTCATACAAGTGGCTTTCCAGTCTCTTCTTAAAAGCCTCCAGAGATGAAGCACCCACAACTTCTGAAAGCAAGTCGTTCCATTGGTTAATTGTCCTCACTGATAGGAAGAAGTTGCTTCTCTCCTTGATTAGTTTCCATCCATTGTTTTGTGTCCTGCCCTCTGATTCTTTGGAAAATAAATTGTTCCCCTCCTCTTTGTGGCAGCCCCATAAATATTGGAATACTGTTATCATATCCACCCACCAGTCCTTCTTTTCTCCAGACTAGCCAAACCCAAATCCTGCAACCGTTCTTCATATATTTTAGTCTCCAGTCCTTTTAATCATCTTAATTGCTCTTCTTTGCACTTTTGCCAAAGACTTAACAACTTATTTTGTAGTGTGGTGACCAAAACTGGATGCAGTATTCCAGGTGTGGTCTTACCAAGGCAGTAGTAACACTTCACGTGATTTTGATTCTATGCCTCTGTTTATACAACCAGCGCTTTTGGGCTGCCACCGCACACTGCTATTTCATATTTAAGTGATCATCCACTAGGACTCTGAGGTCCCTCTCACAGTTACTGTTTTTGAGCCATGTTTCACCTAATCTGTATTTGTACTTTTGGTTTTTCCTGCCCAGGTGTAAAACCTTGCTTTTTTCCACATTAAATTTAAAATTGCAGGATTCTGTTCCAGTGTGCTCTGTACTGACAACTGAATCAGGATTTGATAGCAACATGGTGCTTGAGATTCTTTCCATCTCCAGATCATTAATCTGCTCTGAATTAAAAGATGCTCATGGTTGTCAAGGAGGCCACAAGCCTCTGGTCCTTTTCAAATCTATCATGGAAATTGAATGTCTCTGGCAGAAACCAGCTGCAGCAGTCAATGAAAGGATATCACTTAGCAGTCAGTCAGCTATTATATATCAATAGAATCCTCAGCACAGGCTAACATGTTCATACACACACTCTTGATCTCAAGTGTTTCAATGGTATGTAGAGATGCTTCCTAGGGAAAGGTCAGATAAGAGGCAGCCTGGCCCATAGCTGCAAAGTGCGTTGAGCAAGAATTTCAAAAGCAATCCTTAGATTCTCAGCCTGTAAAGGTGATGGCAGGGGAATTGTATTTTCAGAAAACAGCAAGTTTCTGTTAATGTAGCTTTATTATAAACTAGATCTAGGTTAGTTAGTTAGTTAGTTAATAGAATTAAAGTAGAGTATAATAATAAAATACAGTTAGTTTTTATGTTTCCGGTCTGATCTCTCTGGATAAATAATTTCATGGACTGCAAAAATCTACAAAAAAGGAAATCCTAGAACAAGACTGACCAAACATATCACTCAAAGCCAAGATTACCAAACCAAGTCTGTCATATTTCACTGTTTAACTAATGTAATCAGTTTGTCAAAAAAAATGATATAAGAGTTGTTTAGCATGATCTGTTTTTCAAAAATCTGTGTTGGGTTCTGGTTATAAATTTGCTTGTTCTAGGTGTTCAGATAACAGATAATCAGAGTTGGAAGGGACTTTGTAAGTCATCTAGTCCAATCCCCCCACCCAAGTAGGAGACCCTACACCATTTCTGACAAATGGCAGTCCAATCTCTTTTTGAAAGTCTCAAGTGATGACGCTCCCACAACTTCCAAGGGCAAAGCTGTTCCATTGGTTGATTGTTCTCATTGTCAGAAAGTTTCTCCTTATTTCCAGGTTAAATCTCTTCTTGTTCTGTTTCCATCCATTATTCCTTGTCTGGCCTACAGGTGCTTTAGAAAATAGCTTGACCCCTTCCTCTCTGTGGCAGCCCCCCAAATATTGGAACACTGCTATCATGTCTCCCCTGGTCTTTCTCTTTACTAGACTAGCCAAGCCTAGTTCTGTAACTGTTCTTTACATGTTTTAGTCTCCAGTCCCCTAATCATCCTGGTTGCTCTTCTCTGTACTCTTTCTAGAGTCTCAACATCTTTTTTGTAATGTGGTGACCAAAACTGGATGCAGCACTCTAGGTGTGGTCTTACTAAGGCTTTATAGAGTGGTATTAATACCTCCTTTGATCTTGATTGTATCCCTCTGTTAATGCAACTTAGGATTGCATTGGCTTTTTTGGCTGCTGCTGCACACTGCTGGCTCATATTTAGCTGGTTGTCCACTAAGACTCCAAGATCCCTCTCACAGTTACTGCCATTGAGCTTAAGAACTGCAGTGATTCATTTAACAACAGGGGCAAGAAAAGTCTTAAAATGGGACAACATTCACTTAACAACTATATCTAATTTAGCAACAGAATTTTTGGGCTCAATTGTGGTCATAAATCGAGGACTACCTATACATCCAGATCAATGTGTGACTGTTCACACACAATTGCTAACACTCTGTCTTGCTACTGGTTTTCATAATGACATTTTCTTAGAAAAGTTTGGAGTCAAGTTCTCCTCTCTCTCACTCAGTGATGCCTCTCCAAAGTTTGGAGCCCACCTGTGACTTCTCTCCCCGTGTGTCCAAATGTTGTCATATCTGAATTACAATGATTTAGTGATTGTCTTGGTGCTAATTCTCAAGAGTCTTTTCTGCAACCTTTCAAAAGGTTTGCAACAACAGCTCATTCACATGTTTTCACCTGGATTTCACACAAGAACCTTGTGGGCTGTCATTGGAAAATGGTGGATGCATAAATGTGTCTGGAGAGAAAGAGAAGCTTGTGATGATTTAGTGCAGGCAAGAAGATTTTTTTTCCCTGTCTATAAAAGAAGCCTTGGTTGATTTCTGCCTGAAATGAAAGCTTTCTTCCATCTCTTCTTCTCGCTCTTCATTGAAATCACCTACAAGACTGGAGGAGTCACCAGAAACACCAGTTATGCAGTTGCTTCTCTTGTTCTTGTGGACCCAGAGAATTTTAGGGATGCTCCAAGCCAAATGCCCCCTGACTCTGCCAAGGAATGAGGTTGACCCAAATAATCATTACAAGCCAGGAGACCTTTCCATTGATTGCATAATCTCTGCAACGAAGGCTTTGTTTCAAATATTAAATTTCCAAATATCTCCTAGAACACCAATATTCTCGTAAGTCCATTTTCTTGTGCTGCACTAAAGCAACTTTATTTCTCACTTAGTTCAACAATTCTAGCAGGCACTTAATCCGTTGGGATCAGTGGTGGGATTCTACCGGTTCAGCCCGGTTCGGCCAAACTAGTAGCTCCGATTATCAGCTGCTGGGTCCTTCCACCCACTCCGACTCTTATGCTGACCTTTATTTCCCCGTTTTCAAGCTTAGCTGCTTCATGAAGCACAGCAGATTCCCATGCATCAGCTGTTTAACACAAAGGGAGATTGCAGGATTGCAGGAGAAGGTCAGTAGAAAACACTCTGTGCGTGTGTGAAGCACATGCTCACCAAACTGGTTGCTACACTGGTTGAATCACACCCCTGGTTGGGATCTATTTTAGCTTGAGCACACAATGCATCTGTCTCCTTTGAAATTCTCAAGTACATACATGTAGCCGAGATTTTCTCTTTTTCTTAACTTTCAAGAACAAACAGGCCCTTTTCCTTGACATTCTCCTCAAAGGAGAATTGGATAGTTCCTCTCTTCTAGCACCCCCTTCCCCCATGAAAGGATTCAAAAATGTAGGAATTCTATATATTTTTCCTTACACTGAAAATGCAATTCCCACTTCTGGAAATTAGAAGTTCCCACTTCTGTTTTTGGATCTTATGTTCATTGAACAAATATCAGGTTAGAACTTGTTATTTCATTGAGTTTCCATGTTGGGTGATTTCCATTTTAAAATAATACCAAATCCCCTAATCCTATAATGATTTAAATGTAAATCAATTCTCCAAAGACTTTTGACAGCAGTCATCAAAATGCAAACTGTGCAGGAATCAATAATTTATTGGTTTTGTTAAGAGTCATAATTCTTCATTCTCTATGTAAGTGTGTGTCCAATTGTGCACTTAATGATGTTATATTTAATATAAAAATAGGTCAAAACAACTACAATGTTAAATACTGGAAAAAGATAACTGTTAGTGTTTGGGGATTAACCCCTAGCAGAGTATTGCAGCAGTAGTCAAACCAGGCAGCCAAACGAGAGTGGAAGGGCCCCAGAGTATACACACACTGAACACAAACACTGTTTGTAGTTTAAATAGTTTTTAATCCATTTAGAGTGTAAAGCATTGTCATTCAGTCCATTTAGTCATTCACAGTATTTCCATCCAGTAAGACTCACTAGTATAGTCCAAGTTAAGAGTCCTTGCAATATCTTTATCAGCCGATAAAGATATCTTCTCCTCCTCCGGTGCCTCTCTCCAGAGGAACAAACGCTGGATATTCAGCAAGAAGTTCAAACAGTAGAACAGTAGAATTACGCAGTAAATCAGCAAACAGTAGCAGACAGGAACATCTCAGTCACAGGCACAGTACAGTCACAGTAAGACACAGTTAGTCGCAGTAAGACACAGTTAGTCGCAGTAAGACACAGTTAGT